AAAAAAAAAACCCCCCCCCCCCCTTTCTCTATAACTCTCTCTCTCGCTTAAAAAATTAATGTTTATATTTTTCTATCGCTGTGTGAGTGTGTGAGTGTGTGTGTTATTGTGTTTGTGTGGGGGGCACACGTGCATATGAACGCGCGCGCGAGCCAAAAAATAACGAAAGAGAGACACAGAGACAGAGAGAGAGAGAGAGACAGACTCTCTAACACTCTCTCTCTCTCTTTTTTTATATATACATATACATATATATGTGTGTGTGCTCGCATACGCACAAACACAAACACGCACACACACGTACACATATATATATATATATATATATATATATATATATATATATATATATATATATATATATAGATATATATATATACATATATATATATATATATATATTATTTATTTTTATATATATATATATATATATATATATATATATATATATATATATATATATATATATATATATATATATATATATATATATATATATATATATATATATATATATATATATATATATATATATATATATATATATATATATATATATATATATATTAGTCAGCAGGAATAATATCGTGTCATCTTGAATGAAGGAATTTCTGCTGGATACAGGCCACCTTTATCTGAAACTTAAATTTCTATTTTAATTTGTGAAAGACTATTCTTTTTTTTAAACTATTTTTTATTCTTGAAATACTATTAGTACACAAACAAACTGCACAGGTGACAGAAGTCTATCTCTATGAGAACATTATTAATTAGTTGCATCATCAAAATTATTAAGGTCATCCAAGATAATATATTGTATATATATAGTTTAATTTGTCAGATGTATTTTTGTTTGGTGAGTTGACTTTTGGAGGTGGTTTGAATGATCGTTGACAATGAGAGGGTGGCCGGCCGGCCGGCCGGCGGGAGGTCAAATTGAGAGAATATTAATTAGTTGTATTTTGAAATTATATCAGATACATGAATGAAGCAATAATTTAAATACATACATACATGCTGATCATATATATACACTGTCAAATATTTGACTTATATGCTCATGCAAAGTTTGATTCTTGAAAACTATTTTATATATATATATAGTAAATTCTGATGAACTAACACATATATGTATAGATACTATGTATGTGTGTACTATTATTGGTGAAAAAAGTTGTAATTTTGTCAAGTTGCATTTCCAGGTTTTGCCTTTTACTGACCAAATAATATGCATGCATCGAAACTCAGCCTTTTACGATGACTATTATTATTATTACAAGAGTTGCAGATACCCGATATATATATATATATTAATTTATTAGAATTATTGCGACGACTTAATTCTCTAAACTTAATTTGTATATGTGAGTGGGTGCGGGTGCATGCATTCAATTAAGGCTCACAATCACGTAACAAAATACTCGATGCTCGAATCATAATTGATTGCTTAGAAACTCGTTTGAACTCGATTCGTCAATATAACAACAACGATAAGATATGAAGTTCAGTTCGAGCTTGAGCTCAATCAGAAGAAAATAATAAATATACATAAAACATTAAGCTACTCGAGCTTGATCGAAACTCATTCAAATTCGATTCGAACAAATTTGAAGAATTTTGCATTTCGAAATACCCCTAGAATATTCCCATATATGTAATAAACTTTATATGTGAGTGGGTACATAAAATATAATACAATGTTCCTTGTTAGATATGTGATCTAACCTTTAATTTATATCCATTCTTTTCAATAAAAAGGAAGAAAAAGAAGAGTGATCCACTTGCATCGATCTCATCAATTTAGAGAAGGTTTAATAAAATATTGGGTGAGATAATTAATTGCATAGGATCGGATAAACATTGTTCCATAATTAGATTTTATATTAAAATTAAAGTACTCAAAACCTTCTAATTGGGAGTGCGCCAATATCCAATATGGCAACCAAAATAATTACGCTTGTCTAGTGACCAACTTTTGTCGTTTACTAGTTTCATTTTTCGTCTAATCATCATTACTTATTTTATCTAATCCAACTTGATTATTTCAAGTACTTAAAAACATATATAAATTATGTAAAATGGAATGATTCTGCAAAAATAAAATTTAACTCTCTCTCTCTCTATATATATATATATATAATTAAACCACTATTTGAAACCCTCAATTAATAAATAAAAAAAATAAAAAAATTGGAACCGTACCCGGTACCCCAATGTTTTATTTTGTATGTTGTGATAATAAATTCAAATTAATTTTTTTTAAACAAATGAGAAGGCCCTAATGTTTAATTTTTCCTAGAGTCCCTTCAAGATTAGCATGGGCCTTGCTCGACATAATTATGGGAAGCATCTTTATATATAATTATGACAAAGTATGTACTAACAAACATTTTTAAAATAAAAATATAAATAATTATGAAAAAGCTTAATTTTTTTTAAACAATGGAAGAAACCCGCAACCAACAATACTAGACATAAGTGATAAGAAACAACTGATTGAGTGGCAAAATAATTCCAGTTCGATTAATCAATTGACAGCTTCAAACAAAAGTTATTGTAAGATTAATAGAAACCCAACTCACAAATTGCGTACTTACTGTAAGATTTGCATGATTATTAACGCTAACAAACGTGGAAAATCAGCAAATATATATAATTCTACTACATATGATTTGTTGGTGAATCTTGAACTGTCAAACATGTGCATGATTAAAACATTTAACCCATAGGGGTCCAAGAACTTAGACGCCAACATTAAACAATTCCTCTAATCAAACAACTAATTTATTCCCTTATATCCCTATTTGTTTATATAATAAATAAATGGACCCCACCAATCCCAACAACCAAAATAACACTAATTAAAACAAATACATAAGTATTATTTGACCGTGCGTGAAATAGATCCGATGATCCTGAACTATTGATTTACATATAATAACATTTGTATAAATCTATAATGCAATACTCCGCTTTGATTTTAATCAGGTGTAGCATTTCATAAACCGTATTTGAGTGCTGATGCACACTATAAAAAAAATATGCTCAACAAACAATATTAATGATTTGATTTGTTGGAAATTAAAAATTAAAAAAGAAATGGCTGGCGCACGCCGACAAATCAGAGAAAGACGGTTACGCTGACTAATATTAATTACTATTGTGAAACCGACCCTTTTTAAGTCCAGGTAGGTAATCTTAATTCTTAAACATAGGTTTAAGTAATAGTAAGACAAGTAGATGTTAATTAATTAATTAAACATCGTTATTACCACAAAACCGGATATAAGACAGATTATAGGAATGACAGCCAACTTACAGAATGTAAAATGTCGGCTCTCTCTCTACGCATCTGGATCATATTTCCTAAATCTTTTGCACCTGCATGCATATATGATATATATACAACTTGCTATTTTTTTTTTTCTTTCAATTATAGTGTTGATATTTCTTTTTATTTTTTTTCGTTGTGTTATTAAATTGAATAAATAAATAAATTAGAAGCATGTTAGTGCAATCTATTTTATGATAATATGTTCCCATATATAATAAAATATATGGAGTGAATTTAATTACAAGCTCCACTAAATCATGATGTAACTTTTTAAATATGATTTCCAAAGATAGAAATAATATTGTTTATAATATCCTCACAAGATCTGTGCTGAGTGCTGACACTCAAGAGAAATCTCATTAAATTCTGAACCTTTCTATTTATTTAGTATTTATTTACGGTATGATATTTTGGGCCTGTTGTTGTTACTACTATAAATAGCATTTTCCATGTGCTACTTCCCAACAATATCTTGTCCTTTTTTTTTTTTTTTTCTTTTTAAACTGATGGTAAAAAGTTAGTTCAATAGAATATATGGACTAAATTATAAGATCAAATTACCTCAAGGACTTCTTATTTTAAATAAAAAAGAATTACCAATTGTTATGTAGTTAAGGTACACGGTTGAATTGATTCACCAATTATTCTATTGAAACTAACTTTTTTTTGGTTGAAATGTAATATTGGGAGTAATTAGTTGAACCATAATTGAGTAAAGTGGGCATTTATGTGTGACAAATTCGGTTAGGATGTGAACTTTTTCCCTTTATTTTTTTAATTAATGAAAAAACCATAAATAATTATATAGGTGCACTGAAATAAATTTTTCATACCACCAATAGAATATGAACATCTCTCATCTCTAATTGATTTAATGATAACAAGTTTTATTTATTAACATTCTTAAAATTGATACGATAGTGATACTAATGTGTATAATTGGAGTTAGACCTGAAAGAGTCAAAATCGAAATGGAAAACCCCAATTAATAATACAAGAAGGAAAATTGTTAAATGTTTGGATTTGAATTAAAAGAACTCCCCATATTCGGAAATTACAAAACCCAAAAATTGAAAAAAAAAAAAAAAAAAAAAAGGTTGGCGATAGTTGGACACGTGCCACAGAATGATGAATAATTAAAAAACAGTCAACTCCCATACAATACATATTCGGACACTCTCATCTTTCCCCCCAAATGCATGAACCCCCCTTCTCTCTCTCTCTCCTCTCCTCCTATATATATATACCCCTCTCTCTCTCTATAATTCTCACTCTCACTCCTCACTTGTTCTTTCTCACTCGTCGATCACCTTTCTCCAATCTTAATTAACAAAAATGGTTTCCCAATCTTTGCCTCTCGTATCAAAATCAACTGTTTTCCCCGACCAAAAATCCTGCTTACCTGACCTGAAACTCTCTGTTTCCGATCTACCCATGCTCTCCTGCCACTACATTCAGAAAGGTGGTTTGTTCACCAAGCCGCCATTCCCGATTCTCGAGCTCATCTCCTTGCTCAAAATCAGCCTCTCCCAGACGCTTGTCCACTTCCCGCCGCTCGCCGGCCGCCTCACCACCGACGATGACGGCTACGTTTACATCACCTGTAACGACGCCGGAGTGGAATTCATTCACGCTAATGGGTCCCACATCTGCGTCTCTGATTTGCTGGGCTCCGCCGACGGCGATGTGCCCGAGGCGGTGAAGGGCTGCTTCGCTTTCGACCAGACTGTTAGCTACCAGGGGCATTTCAGGCCTATTCTCGCCGTGCAGGTTACGGAATTGGCCGACGGCGTCTTCATTGGCTGCGCCGTCAATCACGCCGTCACCGACGGGACTTCGTTCTGGAATTTCTTCAACACCTTCGCGGAGTTGACCAGAGGTGTGAAGAGGATTTCGAGGACGCCGGATTTCAGCCGTGACTCGATTTTGATTTCTCCGGCGGTGCTCAGGCTGCCGGAAGGAGGACCCAAGGTCACCTTCTCCGGCGACGCTCCGGTGAGGGAGAGGATTTTCAGGTTCAGCAGAGAGTCAATTCTGAAACTGAAAGCCAGAGTTAATTACAATAACACCCCTAAATGGGGAGACCGTGACGGCGGCATTGACGCCGCTGAGCTGATGGGCAAGCAGAGCAACGACACGTTAAAATTCCCCGACCGCAAGCTGACGCCGTTAGCCTGGCTGAGAAACGCCGTTTCCACCAGGGAGGCGAACGTCACAAATCCAACGGTCGAGATCTCATCGTTCCAGTCACTATCCGCGCTGCTGTGGCGCGGCATCACACGCGCGAGGAAGCTGCCAACCTCCAAAACGACGACGTTCAGAATGGCAGTCAACTGCCGCCACCGGCTTGAGCCGAAGCTGGACCCCCTGTACTTCGGGAACGCGATACAGAGCATTCCGACGTACGCGTCGGCCGGTGACGTTTTGGGCAAGGATCTACGGTGGTGCGCGGAGCAGCTGAACACAAACGTGATGGCGCACGGTAGCTCTACGGTGAGGAAGTACATAGAGGATTGGGAGCGGGACCCACGTTGCTTCCCTTTGGGTAATTTCGACGGTGCCATGATCACCATGGGCAGTTCCCCAAGGTTCCCGATGTACGATAACGATTTCGGGTGGGGCCGACCCGTTTCTGTCCGGAGCGGGCGGGCGAATAAATTTGACGGCAAGATTTCTGCCTTTCCGGGTAGGGAAGGGGGTGGCTGCGTTGATCTCGAAGTTATTTTGGCGCCCGAAACTATGGCCGGTCTCGAATCCGACCCAGAATTTATGCAATACGTCTCCGTTTATTAGTTTGGGTCTGGATTGGGTCGGGTCGGGTATAAATAAGCATCTTTCTGACGTGGAATATAATGGGGAAATCGAAAGGTTTTTTTCCAATTTGTGACATAGTTTAATTAATGTGTATTTTTATCTTCTTCTGTGTCTTCTAAATCTAATTTTTAATGTTAATTTGTTACAAGGTCTTATCTTATTCGATTGAAACAACACACGACTATGTTGTGGCTTTCGTCTCGTGTATGTAAGTTGACTTGCTGATGTGAGAATGTGAATAAAAAATTGAACTACTTAATAAATTGCAGTATTGAAACCGGAATTAGAAGTCCCAAAAAAAAATGTTGTTAGAGAGAACCAATATACAATGAACTTCATCTACCCATTTTATTTTATTTTATTTTTTCGGCTTAAATCAGGTAAACATCCTTATCACCATTTGAATATTCATTTACCTGATCTGTATTATGTATATATATATATATATATTCAGGACCAATTCTTGTAGGCCCTAATGTGATGTGTAACAGCCCTTATTAGTATAGTTTGTATTTGGTAACTAGCTTTTTTTTACCATTAGGGTAGAAGTTTCGGAATCAAATTTCCAATTTGTAATGTGAATTGAGTATATATATATATATATATATATAAAGGGAATGTGAAGTGTATGGAAGAACACCATACCCAATTCAGTGTAGGACATTTAATTCATAGAAGACAGATTCATTGTCTCTGTTGACACTTGTGTTACTGATACATTGAGCCTGAAATTCTGCTAACAAATCTTTTGAATACCAAATGGGCCAAATCATACATTTGAATAGTACACTTGCTGTAATTGGTAAATCATTGATGTATATCAATCGAAACAATTGCAAATAATTGGTAAATAACACAATATAAATTCAAAAGGAAGCAAGAACAAGATACTAGTCACATCAAAATTAACACAATCGAATTTCAGGAAGATTTTTTTTTTTTGAATATAATCATCGACATAAGTGCATATTTTCCTCGTTATAGAGACGGTACCTAATTCATACAGAAATACTTCCTAGGCAAGAAGTGATATGGTCCACATTAATACCAGCTCAATTTCAGATAACTGATACGCAAGTTCAACTTTTTCAAGGAAGAATCAACTTTTTTTTCTCTGAGATCGAAAAACTCTAAGTTCGATCTGAAATCACTTTCTAATAACACAACATGGAATGCTCTCAGAAAACAAAATGCTGTTCAGCTACCAGCAGCTGCAGGCACTGCAACAGGCTTAGAGTCTTCGGCCTTTTCATGTTCTTTATTTAGCATCTGAAGTCATTTTTCGTAAAATTTCAGACCCATAGATAGTCGGATTTAGTCACAAATTGTACAGTAGAAAATTAAAGAGGAAACCAGTCAAATTAGTCAGGAAAAAAAGTACAGTTTACTTAACAAACACACACACACACATGCTGCATTGTTTCCTAAATGAAAAGGACTGACCAACCATGGTCTAATGCATGCCTAGTCATCTACTTAGAATGCAGCAAATAGAAGTTTTATTGTGGATCATTCGTCGTACAATAGCTTAGACCACAAAGTGGATTTATTTTGCTGAGTCGTCCTAAAAAAATGTTCAATACCATAAATTTCAAGGAGCTGCTATAATTCTATCAGATCAGATACGTTAAAAAAAAAGATCTTTTATAACTGTCACTTAGTTTTCCCCCATTATTTCATAATTTATTATAACTTCCCAACATTCAAGAATAGATTCACTTCCCAAGCTGAGCTGCAAACCAATAAAAAACACTGATATCTTGAGGCCTCATTTGTGAATGTTGATTGAATTGATAAGATTGATTGACTAGGTTAGGATTCCATTGGTCCATTATATTGTAATATGTGATTATCTTACAGTTTAACTTACAACTGTACAATCCTTGTCTTGGCTAATATCCGTCCTATGATTGTCTAATAGGGATTGACTTTCAACTAAATGTCCTTAATATGTTTGATTAAAATCTACGCACATTTTTAGTCATGGGCTTGAATAAACCTCAAACATCTGACAAAACTTGATTATATTGTCTATCAAACCTAATGCTTATTCCCAAACAAGATCCAAGTCTACCACCTATTTAGAAGCCTAGACAATAAACTCTGATGAATCACCGATGTCATTAGGATCGAAAGATCTAAAATTGAACCTTAAGTTACTTCTTCGATTGGAAACAAAAAATAATAATAATAAGAGCACTTTACCTTGTTGTTAATCAAATTGTGGAGAGCAATCACACTTCTGATAAGGGATGATAGATATATGACCAACATCATATCATTCGTTTTCACTGTAGAGAGGAAAACAAACAATAATTTTAATAAAAGCAGTACCTGAAACCGTGATATATACTGACCGGTCCAAAGAAAATTAACAACCAATTTGTATTTAACTAATTTACCAGCAAAAGCTTTGATGAGTTCAGATACATTTAGATTCGGGAGTAGGTTGAACACGTCCTGTAGAAATCAGGTAACATATCAAAAGATGAGATGCAAAAGAAATTCTGCCATATCTGGAAAATTGTATAAAATGGCAGAATGATCTATCCAGGATAACAATCAGACGGGAAGGAAGATAGGGTTTTAATGAAATATTCACCACATAAATAATGCAAATGGAACCTAAAAATGATACCTGGAGATGATAGAGGATTTCATGATTTAAGGGGAGCTTCTCTTCAATAACCAGGTCGAGATAACTTCTAATCTCTTTCAATCGTGCATCCAATCCTTTCAAAGCAGCAAGTTTTCCAGTAACCTAAGACAGATACATGTATAATAAGTACATAAGTACCCAGCATATAAGTGTGACATAAGAATCTAAAGTTACAATAATCGTGGTAGACTAAAAAGGGAAGACATCAAGAAAAAAACCTCTGTTGCCAGAGTGCTAATAGTCGTGTCCTTTACATCCCTTAGCAAGTGTTCCACTCCTATCATAACCAGGAAAAGCAGGAAGGGTAAGCATTATGTAACACAGGAAAAAGGGGAATTCACAAACTTTTTGAGTAAAAGACAATATCCCAATGAAATCGAGATATGGGCAGCTGACGAGTAATGCATGACTAAATGGAACAAAATAAGCAAGAAGCAAATCAAAATGCTCATTTTTTTAACGCAATAAGCATACCAATTTCTTCAACTTCATGTGCAGCAATTTCCGAAAGAACATGCACAAACACCTTCTGGCTTTTCTGAGTGGCATTCTGTAAGTTCATTCAAAACATTAAACCATATCTTCTCATAACGGTTTCTGTTAAATGGCTGAATAAATTATTTCTCATTAAGTTCTCTTTACGTTTAATGCTCCCTAAGAAACTCTTTTTGGTTCCCTTGAGTAAGCAAATTTAAAACACAAGAAGCCCAAAAATGGATCAGGAGACACCAGTAAGTAGACATCAGTAATACTCTTTCTCTTACTTCTTTAACTTCCTCAACAGCATAATAGGCTTTAGTAGGTATCCCAAGCTCTTTTGGCTGGACATCAATAATCACCAATAATGGTGTCGGAACATAGCTGCAATAACATGAATATTTAATTGTCATTAAGTTGGACAAGTGCTGTTACTGAAAAATCCATTGCACGAGCTACAAAAGCAAATGAAGAAATCTAGAAAGGACAAAGGAGATTTAAGGAAAGCATTGATTGTGGTATAACAAGGATTATACATATACAAAGTTGAATAGACTGTGAAAGAATGTTGTTCAGGACGTGTTCAGTAGCCAGAAAATATGAACAATTTTACCAAGATGAGAGCACTTAAGAACAGAAGAATGAGCTTCTCATTTAGGAATTTCTTTAGCCGAAAGAGATGTGGAAAAAGGTTCATGAAAGAAGGAAAATATTATATCCAAAGACACTACAGCGATGTACAAGAAATTTAAAAACCAACTAAAAACTGATGGAGGAAGTAGCTGAACTTTCAAACCAAACCAACCCATCATATTCCACAAAGATATGGAAACACAAATTAAATCATTTGCAGGTGATCTAGAGGCATTTAAATGAAGATTTCAGTTTGTCATTGTAGGCTATACATATGGGTAATATGCACGAAAATTGAAAAACTTTTGACAGTTTAGCCAAACACCATTTTGCATACTCAATTTTATGTCCACTTGATTGACTATGTAGTAACGTGCTTAGATCCCAAACAATGACAAAATCCAGTTACCAGCAAAGAAACATGTCTCGTGAATTTATAAATAGTGGTTCATACAGAAATCTTACTCATTGAACAATGCGTGGATACTTAGGTCATTCTCTTTCAGTTTTGGACCAGTGCTATACCAACCGACGACATGCTCCTTGGCTGAAACAATTTAAAAGCACATCGAATTATACCCGATTGCATATAACTAGTCGAGAAGCTCAAGTGAATAAAAAAACAACATACCATTTATTCTTCTAAACATGGAAAACATTGATTCATGGTAGTTATGATCAAGAAACCAGATGCTTGGGTCCCTATCATCTTCTTCAAAAGGAACTGCACAAATTAGGAAAATATGTTAGTAAAGTATAGCATATGAAACTCTTAAACACTACTAGAGATCAGATTCAAGAGTTGGAAGATACATTTCGGAAAAAACAGAAGACTAGAAAATGTTTCATTAGTCAATGAAAATAAGAAAGTCCATTGAACGGAAGACTTATTATGTTTTCTAAACCTGATCCCCTCTTCTCAAGAAACTCAAATTCCGTATCATTGTTGAAAGTTAATGAACAAATATCAGCACAAGGAGCTGAAATACTTACGGCTTTAAAATAAAAAATACACAAAGGTTTTAGCTATAATCATAGCCGATTGGGTATAAATTTTGATTCGACAAAAATACACATCAGCGAGAAAAGAAGTACAACCAATGGCAAAAAAAATTACGAAAACCAAGGTGTTATGCTTGAGTTAACCCACGTTAGATACAGTACTACGTTGGACAAAAAGAACTTTCTGAAATACTCAAGAATGTATGTGAATTATAACAGGTTACATGCCATTGAGCAAAACCCGACTTACATAAATTCTTATAATTGGTTCGATCCTAATCCAGATGAAAATGTAAAATGACCCCAATAAAAATGTAACGAAATCCTATCACATGGTGAATGGTAAAGATACTAGACTAGTTCTGTATTCCAGTTTTCACTCTAATTTAGTGTATCTAAAAACAAATCCATACCTATCTCAACGAACTACAGATTTATCTTAATTCGATCATTAAAATAAGCAGATTATTTTGTCTCCGTATAACAATACTAATAATAACTGGTTCCAGAAAAAATTAAATCCGAAAACAGAAAAGGCAAATACTAAGATTGGTATTTATGAAATTAATTTCCACCTAAAATCCAATTAACAAATCAATTCTGCCGAGCAAAGGAGGAAAAAAAATAGTTTGCAGTGGTAATCTTAACATAAACATGGAGCGACGCAAATTGTATGTAATATAGACAGTAAGAGGCTAAGTGCAGAAAATACTCAAAATTTTACAACTCTAGAAAGGATCAGATCTAGAGTACTGACCGGCGTAGCTGTTAGTTACGTCAACTGTGCCCTTATAGGAAGTTCCGAGAAGAACTCCAACGACGCGCTTCCGAGTGTCACGCGCCACCCGGTTGTAGTGATCGACGACGCTCAACAGCACGAGCGGATGCACCACCACCTTATCGATCGGCCGAGATGATATCTGCTGCGATTTAATCACGTCCATTTCCGCTCAATTTCTCTACCTATTCCTCTCACTATTTGTTTTTTTACAGGGTTTTCGAAGAATTTTAGTTTCAATTTCTTGGGCGGAAAGCAAAAATTAGATTCGGCATTTGTTATTTTGTTTATTCAATTTCATATAGGGTAAATTACAAACACCCCTGAGGGTATTGTCAAATTACAAAAAAACCACTCTTGTTTGGATAATTACATTTACCCCCCTTAACTATGATATTTTCTTACACCTCCACCCTCATGGTGTCAAATTCAATATAATCATCTAGATTCCGTGAAATGTGCTCTAGTTTGTACTCTTTTTGTGTAAAAATACAGTTTCCGATGCACCACAAACTAATATATACAAGCTAAAAATCACATATTATGATCATCTTGCTTCATAATGTAGATTATGATCATCTTGCTTCATAATGTAGATTTTGAATGGGATAAAACGGGTACATAAGTAATAATATTCCATATAATCTCGAAGATTCCACTAAATTTGAGCAGTTGAGTGGATGGTTGTAATTATCCAAACAAGATAGGTATTTTTGTAATTTGACCATACCTCAGCGGGGTCTTTGTAATTTACCCTTTCATAGATTATATATCATTACAAGACTTTTTCTCTTACTTCTGAGGTTAATGGGCAATATTTGGGCATAATCATTGGAAGAATTATACTAGCCCAATAGGCCCAATAACATTAATACTGCGTCGTTTTGGGGAAGGATCCCATTGACCATTGCAAAGTACATATTTTAACATCAGTAACACCAAATATCAAATGTCACAACATTCATTACAGATTATAGCTATCACCAAAAGACAGCAAACACAAAGTGCAATTCATAATTCAAAATCTCTCACATAAAACAAGTAAGAAAAAGATCAAAGTTGTGGAAATTTTCCGAGATTTAACTTTAAACAGAATCAAAACCCGAATTAACGCCCCCTTTCAAATCCAATTCTTGATCTACCTGAACCATCAAAGCCATCTCTCATGGACCCCGCGCTAGCCTTCAAAGTGCCTCCACCCCCAACTTTATCCATTGCTTTCTTACCCTTGTTAACCTCAGTCAAGAACTGATCAAGACCGAACGGATCTTCCTCAGGCGGCTGGTTCTTCTCAAACTCAACGGGCCTCTCTCTCGGGCCGGTCTTCTCAGACGTACCTGCAAACGACCTATCAGCTTTGAAGCGGTCGGTCTTCATCAGCTTATCCAGCTGCTCATCCGCACCACCATACATCTCGTCATCCGCATCTTTCTTAGGCCTGTACAGAGTGCTCATAGTATTCTGAGCAGTGAACAAACCCTTGTCGTAAATGTTGTAAGCATCGTCAGTAGCAAAACCAGAGTCCATCCCTTTCTCCTGGTTGAACAGCCTCTGATCGTACATGACTTCACCTCCTTTCGATCCTGTGGATGCCATTCCGAGAGCCACTTTCTCACTGATATCACGGTCTCTATCTCTAGTAATCTTGCTCTTCTTCCCCATGGCAGCATCTTTCGCCTCGAGTCTTCTCTCCCTCTCCCTCTCTTTCCGCCTCTCCTCGCGGATTTTCTCCCTCTGCAACCGCTCCTCTCTCTCCCCTCTCGATTCCTTCGGAGCATCTCTCACACGCTCGTAATCCATACTCATGTCACCATCGTCAATACCAATACCGCCGCCCCTCTCGGAAGGCGGCATAGGCACAGAAGCTGCCGGAGCAACACCGGTCCTTTCGGACCTCGCCTTTCTTGCCAATTCACGAAGCTCCATCTCTTTCTTATCCTTCTCTTTCATCATCATCTCCTTTTGAACCTTCGAACGAACTGCAACAGCCTCTCTCGCCTTCTGCTCCGAAACATATAAAGCCTCCGATAACTTTGCAAAATTATCATTAATCTGAACATCTTGCAGACCACGACCATCTGCAGCTAGACGCTTGTCTAGCGGTATTGTATATCCTTTTGGATTCTTCCAATTGGAAATACAAGGTGGGATTTTCCAGTCTTGCTGGTCCTTCACAGTCACTGGCCGAGGAGGGGAATGCATAACTGGCACGGGCGGAGAACCGGAAGCTTTTGGAACCCTCTTGTGCTTGAACTTGGGCGGCTCCATTGGATCCACAGGCATCTCCACCATGCGAATAATCCTCTCTTTAGCTCCCGAGTTAAAAGCCGCCGACTGCTGTGATGGCTTGTACTTGATAAACTTGGAGTCGGAAGACTGTGCCGGAACATTTTTCGGCTGTGCAGCACTCAACCTCACGTTAACTATCTTCTCGAGCGCAGCTTTGGTTTCTTGCATAGTCTCGTCGATTTCTTTCTGCTTTTCGTCCACCTCCATTTCATCTTCTTTCTCGAGATCTTTAACAAAGATTGGAACAAGATCGGTGTGGTCAGAGTACACAATCTTCTTCGCGTTCTCATTCTGTTTCACAATTGCATCATATCTCAAGTTGCCTCGTTCATCCACGGTGAGGGGTAGAGTCTTGCCACCCGATTTCTGGTTCGTGCTTCTGCCCATGCCAAGTGGGTACTGTGCGTAGTGAATTTCAGGGAAGGCTCCTCCATCACCGAAATCTTCGGGCTTAGACGGCTTAAACCCTGCTCGTTTCAAGTAGGGAGGGACTGACTTAGCTTTGGGAGCCTCGGAATTCTCGGCCTCGGTTACACTGTACCTATTTTTAAACCATGGGTCGTTTGTGTGGTCGTAATTAGCATTGACTGATGATTTTGCCTTTGGAAGAATATCCGTCAACGCCACCATCTTCAAAATCCAATCTCACTATTAGCTACTGATACAACCCTACAGAGACACATCAAAAATTAATTAAAAAAAGTGTAGTAACTTCTGCAAATCGAAACTAAAATTTTAATTATGAAACCGAGAACAAAGGGGAAGAACTAAAATCGGCTGTATCATGATATTTAAAACAAAACAAAACAAAAAAAAAAAGAGGAATAGATAAGTAAAGAGAGTAATTTAACAAACACATAATTCCAAACACAGATCATCATATAATTCATAATAATTAATGTCAAAATTTGAAGCTTTTTGAGATACCTGAAACCCTAGTTTAGATCTTAGTATAACTAATCGGATTGTAAAAACGAATCTGAAAAATATACGAAAAGGTACGAAAATAAGCTTGCTTAGATATAGCAGAGAAAAACCGACCTCAATTTAAACAAAACCCGGAGAAAAAGCCTTTGAATTGGGGAAGAACCAGGAGAAGCTGGGCGGCGATGAGAAGGAAGATATAATTTGGTATTTTGTATTACTCTAAAAACAAAATTAATTGGTATTTGGTTCTATATAAACCGGTTTAAACCCGAGCGGGTGACGGTGGCATTCGGTTCGGGCCTTCGGGGATTCGGGTATTGGGCCATCGTTGTACCTTTTATTCTTTTTAAATGGGCTGGCTAATTAAGTAATTAGTGCAGCCCACCAAACAAGACTACCAAGTAGTAGCCCACCAAATTATTTTCAGCCTTTTTTTTGGATTAGAACGGTGGGTTACCCCCGATAGGGTTTCCGGGTAGCGACTTCAATACCCGACCCGATATGTTATATGCCCAACCCGACTAATACCCGAAGCTTAAATGAAATACTTGAGCATGGTTATTAAATCGTGAATCGAATCGAAAAATATTTTGTTAAAAAAGCGAATCATAACTTTTAAGAGTTTTTATTTTTCTTAAAAAATACTATAAATATCAATTGAATTATGTACTATGCATAGTATTCATTAGAGTTGGGACTGGGTTGGTTTTTATCCACCAACCGACCCATTACCGACAATATTTTAGGTGGATAATCAATTTTTAACCGACCCATTGGATCGGGTCGGAAATTTCAACCAATCCATCTGTAATGGGTCGGTTAGTGGTTTCTAATATTATTAAAAGTTGGTTGACCGATAATCATCGGTCATCCAACTATATTATTAAAATCTTATAAAATAAAGGCCGTGTTTTCTTAAGTGATTATTGAAATTATTAAAATAATTAGTATTTTAAATTTTAAAAACAATCAACAAAGGAAAAAATAAATTGACCTAAATCTTCCACCGATTTCTTTATGCCGAAGCTTAAACAAAAGCCACAAAACTCCACTAAAGATCTCTTGTGCATGTTTGAAATTATTTTGAATTTCCTAATTATATTATTTCGTTAAATTGTTATTTATTATTTTCAACTGATAAATGATGATCGCATCGTGGCATCACGCTGAATGTGAATATTTTTACTCCAAAATTTGAATTTTTTTTAAGTGTACCAGGTGACTGGTATAAACCATCAACCGACCCATTCCGGAACCAAATATTCGGTTGCCAACCATCAACCGACCCACAAAGGTTGGGTCGGCAATGGTTTTAGAATTTAAGCAAAAATGGTTTGATGAATGGGTCGGTTTTTAGGCTAGTAATCGACCGACCCAACTCAATCCCAACCCTAGTATTCATTACAAAAAATTATATCACATAGAAATCTCTACCACCATACAACCAAGCTACATATGTTGTATAAAAAATAATAATAAAAGGACTATTAGTCTTTTTAACACGAGAATAGCAAAAAAGGTTTAGGATTAAAAGAGTATCATTTATCATCATTTGTAATATTCATCAATGAAAATATTACAAATAATTATGTTTTTTTAATTTTTTAATAATTATTTAAACTGGGAGGGGTGATTTTTTAGTAATTTTCAGACTTAGAACAAACGGTGTTAAGGTCAAAGGTCTGAAAACTAACGGTGATGGCCACATTGAGATAATTTTTCAAGTACAGTGGGGCAAATCGATGCAATTGAGAGTAGAATGAGGTAAAGTGATATCGATTCAAAGTAAAAGGGGGAAAGTGGAATTTATATATAAATTTAAATTCAAGAGCCAATACAAACTCAAAATAAGATGGACATACTATATATGTTACAACGAGGTATTGTCCTATTTAACTGCATGTTGTAGTTAAAACCTTATATCTTATCATAATATATTTTTAATATTGTACTCAATGTATATATATATATATATTTTTTATTCTGAAGACCGTGTATGTATTGTACGAATTTGGGATCAAATAAAAAATGGTTCGAACTAAATCGTAAATCTTAAGATGCTTTTGAAAATTTTCGACTTATTCAACGGTTTAAATCGAAAAGGGTTCAAATCGGATCGAATCAGGCGATTTGGATCGTATTAATCACAATAAATTGTCGTAGGTTCGTGTAGTAGTTATTTGCCTTAAACAAGTTATGATATAATAATTATAATTTTATTAATTTAAACAAAAGTCGATCGAAGTGAATTGATTAATAATATAATATAATATAAAATAATTGAGTTCCCCTCAACGAGTTGAATATAATCTCTCAACACACTAAAAAGAAGAAGAACAATAATATAATAGATGAACTCCATTTTGACGATGCAATATCAATTATCATATATCCTAATCAATTAAACTAAAGCAGAAATATTATATGATGATGATGATGAGATTAAGAAAAAGGGCAAGATAATTAATTAGGTCTATATCATGTTAATTAATATAATGTAAATAATTAAAAAAAGCTTAATCGCAGGTCCAACGTGGGATGATCCATTTCAGTAGCGCCGTTAATATTATTATTATGGCCGTACGTAATGAAGGAAGCATTCTCTCTGCAATTACCAATATTATTATCTGCGGCTTCACCAATTAAACACTTCACTGGAAACAGCTGTAGGGTTTCAATAACCCTCCCTCCCTCCGAAACCTCGTAATTAATCACCCCTTCATCACCATAATAATTACCTGTCAACAAATATATAATTATATATGTTAGTCTGATATAATTAAGAAAAATATGATTTAATACAAACAAAACAAAACAAAAAAAAAAAATAGATTAAAAACTTACGTTCTGTGGAGGAAACGGCGGCCAGCTTGGTGTTGGTGGTGGTGGTGGTCTGAAGGTGGTGGTGGTGGATATTGATTATGTCGTCGTCGGCGGCGGGGGTGGAGACGAGAACGCGGCGGCGTTTCTGTCGCTCTCTGGCCTTGTGGTTTTGGAACCAGTAGAAAACATTCTTGCTCTCGATCTTGCCGTAAAAGCTCAACTGAGAAGATATCTTTTGTATTTGATCCGTACTAGGTGTTCTCAGACCTGACCTGAACAGCTCTGTCAGAACTTTTACCTGTTCGCTTGTTGGGTTCCACCGCCCGCACTTCGTCCCCCCACCGCCTCCGCCGCCACATCCGCCGCCGCGTGACGCCCTGATGCAAAACCCTGCTGAATACTGATCTTCCATCAGAATCTGTTTTTGCTATGAGTTCTAATATTGTACTTGCTTAAAAAATAAAAAGAACTAGGGCAAGTTGATAACGTTATTTGTTTATGCTGTTATCTTATTTATATATATATATATATATATAGAGAGAGAGAGAGAGAGAGAGAGAGAGAGTGCATTGATTTTAGGGATGAGAGAGAAGTTTGAGGATTTGAGGGGGTATTGTTTTTTATTAATTAATAAATAAGTAAATTTGATAGTAGAAGGAGAAGAGATAGACATGCAGAAAAAGCTGCCACTGTTCAAAGTTTAGGGCCGCGCGCGAGCAGACAAAGAGGTGTGTGTGTGTGTGTGTGTGTGTGTGTGTGTGTGTGTGTGTGTGTGAGTTCTTCCATTTTTTTTACATTTTATTTATTATTATTAATTAATTTCCTGCTTAATATCAGTTCAAGAAATTCAAGAAAGCAAACACCTTTTTCTTGATTTACTTACATTTTCTTTTTTCCTAATTTAATCTTTTTTTTATCTGATATAATATTCTTCTTTTATTCAATTTGTTAATTAAATTATTCATAAGGAGAGAGCTAGCTAGGAAATTAAAGTAATAAAAATCTTAATAATATAATTGATTAATCATAAAACCCCGGTTGTGTTAATTAAGATCAGAAACATGCATGTATCAAATCCTCTTTGTTCATTTGATTTAATTAATTCAACAGTTATATATATATATATATATAATGTTGTTTCAGTGTTTATAGTATTATAAGATGGTCTGCAAAATTAGAATAAAATTGATGCATTGGTGATATAAAGTCAAAGTTCACATTGTGTTTGATCCCAGTTGGAGTGTTGTGATCACAAAAAATTCTGACAGCACAGATTATATTTATTGACCAATACATATCAACTGTTCAAAATAATTCAGTCAATAGGAAGAAAAGAATTGTGTTATTGGGATAAATAATATAATAAAACATTATATTATAAAAAAAAAATTAAATAAAAGAAAAGCTCCTTTTGAGGGTGTTGAGACACAAACAAGAGGACATAAAAAGCCACCAATTTAAGATTTAGAGTGAGAAGAGACAACACACGACCAACTCAAAGGGGACCAAATTGGCTTTTCTTGTGTCCAACTGCTTCCTGTTCTTCACCTAATTAATTTATATACTTGTAACATGGCTTCTTTAATCTAATGAATTTCATAATACAACTTTGGTTTATGTTTCAATTTATCCAAGAAACTTTACCTTATTAAAGAAATTAATTACCCCAAGAGAAAACGCATGCGGGGTTTTAAATTACACATATTTTAAAGGAAATTTTTGGCTAAAACTCCCTCAAAATTAAACTATTTTGTGTAATCTAACAGTCTGCTTAGACTGAAAATCGACAACTTGGTTGTAGAGTTAGACTGAAAATAGACAATTCATGAGAGTGGAAAGGGATAGTATCGTTGGAGAATTTGGATTGAAAATAGATATCTTAGATGAAAATAACCAATTTCCAAGAATGTTGTGGTGAAAATTAGAGGCGGAATAGTAGGAGAAATGTCATTTTTTTAAGTAGATGTGATTTTTATGGCTATGAGTTATATAACAATAATGTATTTTCAATCAAAATTAACTATTTTATTTATGTCTAAACTGTTCGACGGACTTTTAGCAAAATATGAAAATATAATGTCCTCACTTAAAAGGATATAGGTACTTAGGGGCGTTTAGCAAAATGTCTAAATTTTAAAAGCTTGTAAGTTGATTAATTTAATGATCATATACCTATAACACATTTTGTTTTTTAGGGATTGTCTTGATGGAGTGTGATTCAATTTTCAATATTTTTCGGGACTTTATAAATATTCATCTTTTATTGTTGTCTTTTACTAGTTTAATTTCTTTTCAAACTCAATTCAACATATATATTTATGGTTGATTTTATTTATTTTTTTGTCAAGGATATATTAGAGAAGTGTGTGTGTGTGTGTATTATTATATATATGAGAGGTGTTGCCCTAGTTTGTATATAATTTTTGGTCAAGGAACAATGAACCTAATTTAGTAAAATAATGTTAGATGTGAATATGCACATGATTCTAGGACTGTGACAAATAATGAAAATTGGACCAGCCAATTAATTAGTTGTGTGTGTGGTTTTGGCACAATTCACAAGATCAATGTTTGGATCTCAATACGTAATCTCGTCTTTTCTTAATTACATCACTGTCCGTTTGCACTTGGATCTGCATTTTGCAGCACTCCTAGGAATTACTGTCAAATCACCCCTACTGCAATTTCTTTTTTTACAATTCTTTCTTTCTTTCTTTCTTGTTGTTCAAATATATATTTTTTTTTTAATTCAAATTTATGATCTACAAATTTTCAAAATATTTAATTTGATGCATCGGATTAATTTGATTAGATTATTTTCCTCACATGTAATTGATTATTCGGTACTAAAAAAATGCCTTATTCTTTGTACAACATTTAATATTAAAATAGTAAAAAATTGGCATTACGTATAATTGCTTATCCATATTATAAAAAAATATTATTAATTATACATGCTATATAAAATTTATTTAATTCGATTTTTTTCGGAATTTAGATTGAAAAATAAAGTCATAGGAAGAAGCAAAAGTAGAGATGGATAAAAGTGCCATGCGTCGGATTTAGCTGTCCCTTTCCAATCCTCCAAATAGATATTTATTTTATTTTTTGAATCACTCCAAATAGATAGTGATAACATACAACCTTTATTTATTATTTTATTTTATTTTTTGCCCGTTTTTCATATCTGAGTAAAAATGTTTTTCAGTGAGATTCGACAAACTCTATTAAACTAATATTAATTAATTAATAAATGGTGTTTATATATATGTGTGGGTGGGCGTGAAATCTAGGCGGCCCCTAATTTTCCGTCGGGTTCTAAGTTGTCTCCACTAATCTATGTCAGCATGCACAGAGTGTCTAATTATATGCACATTTTGCTGAGAAATAATACCCCATTTTTGAGACACCACTCTTATTATTTGGACACATTAATAATTAATCCTTGTAAGAAAATGAGTTTACAATCATAGACTGCATGCTGTGAGAGGCCACCAGTAAAAAATATAATTTCATCAAAAGAAGTGGTGGCATTAATTCAAGCATTAATTATTTCATTTCATGATCGTGAAACATAAGAATTAGCGGAAATTACAACCGCCCCTAAGGTAAGGGGTATTTACGAAAAAAACTCCTCATTTTTTTTTTCATAATTACACCCACCCCTACAATTTATAAATTTCTTACATTAACACACTTTTAAAGGCGTGGATGTAAGAAAATTACAAGCTACAATGGAGGATATAAAGTAAGGGTTTTTTTGTAATTAACCTTTACCTCGGGGAGGGTGGTAGTAATTTACCCTAAGACACCCTAAATGTAATTAGAACCAAGAACAAAAGAAACTAGTATCCAATAAAGTAAATTACGGTGGCTTTTTTTCTCTTATAATTAATCGTTACTTATGAGTATTTCCTTACATCTTACATGTAAATTGCATAATTTCATCCTCACAGCAATGGATACAAGAACAGCCAATCATGAAGAGAAACAGGTAATTCCGACAAGGGAGTTGATAGTTAGGTGTTGTCAATATTTTCTATTCATAAAGACATGTTATAAGATCACAAACAAAAACACCAATAAATCCCCAGAAAGTATGTCGCTAAAATTATCTCAAATACAGAGTACAAGATTTTCTAGTTGGAATGATAGCACCGATCAAATGAAGGCCAAATCGTCACACAAAAAAAAAAAAAAACTACATAGAAGTACTACTCAGTTGGAGCTCCACAAAACCGAAACCGCGTAACCAATCAGAGGATTTGGGCAGCTGTATTCAGCTTTTCTGCTAAGCTGAGCTGTGTTCTTGTAATGCTAGATAAATACAGTAGCAGCAGTTGATCCTGCAAGGAATAGAAAAAACTCGAGTTTAGATTCTGTGATGAAAAGTATACTTCCGCCAAATATATACCGAAAAGTATCTAACCGAATTGAATATACTAATACAAATGCGAAGTGAGAAGTTCTATCGAAAATAGAACATGCTATTCGCTATATCTTGAATTTTTGTAGTGAGGTAAACATGAAAGAAAATAATATCCTAGATTTTTTAAATATCATAACTCATAGTTTATGCTTTAGACATTTCGTTACATTTGTCAATTCCCCACTCAAATCCAAGTCCAAACATCAATTAAAGCGAAACTCAGAAACGGCAAAGCAAGCTCGATTTAATTGCCATAAGAAAAACTTTAAAAACAAGTTTTTACCTGCAGACTATCATTGACTAGCTTATCGAAAGCTTGTGGCGACAGTTTGGGAAGGGATGCTATGGTATCGGAAATGAATCTTCCGATTTTGTTATCAGGGGCAATACGCCCTTCCTGAAAGAGAAAAATGTAAGCAGTTAAAAAATGACACAAAAGAAGGATGCAAACAAGAGATTCAAGAGCTTTATAAACAGCCATCTCACCACAACATCATCTACATATTTATAAATTTCGCCAATGAGAGCAAGTAATCGTTCCATTGAGGTTTCCATTCCCTCAAGATCACTGGGAAGTTTATCCACATTTGTCGGCTTAAGCACGTCAACTGCTCAAACGAAAACAAAAACCAATAAGATAATTTAATCAAGTATATCGACACATGCAAGCTATATATTTATTCAACCAGAAATAACTTAACAGCAATGCGACTATGCAAGAAATAAATAAAAATCCATATTAAGCAATGAATAACATCATAACATGTTCAATGAATACGCGAGGGCATGCATCAGTCAATTTCACAAGTATCCTTTTAAAGATAATGGAGTAGCGAAGTTCAAGGAAAGACGAAGCATCAACATTGAGGGCTTTCAGAAAATCATCACAGCCAACAAACAGAAAAATAATTTGTCGCAAAACAGAAAAGTCATGGTCCGAACAATTGGTTGAGCCAACAAAAACAATATCCACGAATACTAATCAGGTAATATAATACTAGTTTCTAAATGCTCAAGAATATATCACCAACCACAAAAGTGGACAAATATTTATTTCTAAAGTGGAGAACCACTGACCCTCATGCCATGCAGGCAGTTTGCATGCATAAAATCACTAATAAACATGATTGGATGCAAATTTTAACATATATACATCGAAATTGAATAATTTACTGAATCGAATATAAGATCAAAATATAATTTACTGAATCGAATATAATTTAGTAGTTGTAAGCAAAGGTCCAGATAGATACATACACCCAATTCGCTCTGCCTCAACCATGCGTAGGTCCAATGGAATTTCTTGAAACTGAGCAGCAAGTTGACGCTCGCCAAGGGACAGATTAATAGAGACAAAGGCCTTAATTGCCGCAGCTCCAGTTCTGAATTCAGTATCAACAGTCAAATGAACAAGATTGTTGACATCTCTAGAATAGAACTCGTGGATCAATGCACTACCAGCAACGACTCTACCTGTCGAAAACCTGCCCAAATAAAAGTATATTCATATTTCATAAGCATCTAATCTATTTACAGAATTAAGAAATCTAGTGAAAGCATCAGCTAAATTATTGAGTTCTCATGAATCAAACATTTGCTCAACGGACGGCTTAAAGTTGGTGGAAATCAGAAACAGAGTATAAAAAAGGACAGAGGGTGAAAGCAACTCACTACAACATAGAAGTACATATAAAAAAATCCAATTAGTATCAGAAAAATACCAGTGGAAGTTTGACATCGAAAACATATTAGTAGCTCACTTACTTTACATCAAGTAGAAATCCATAAATATTAAAATCACAAAAAGCATTGTTAGACAAGTATTCATATGTTCTGCTCAATCAAAAGATGGAAATAGTCATAAAATCAATTTATGGTGCGTGAGATGCACTATAATGAAATCAACAAAAACAAGGCAAAATTACATAATAGTGTGATGCGTATGACAAGCAAAGCCACAAAGTTATAATATTAAAAAATTCTTCAAGAACTAAGGATTTCCTGAACTAGATTGCATAATTAGTGGACAATAATATGCGCACATACAGTAGCAGAAACAAACAAAAGAATATTGTCTAATAAACTGAAAATTACCATCCAACAATGACTTCCTTTGGATTCACCTTCTGGTGGGATGACAACATATTTTGATGATAATCAATATCCAATGCAACCTAGATACAAATAAAAGTAAAAAAAGGTTAATCCAAAAAAGATAAAAACTATACTATTCAGTTTATATACATACCAAACAAATCCCAATCAACAGAAACCACTTAACAGTCAAATATCCACTCTAAACTTCAACAGATGAAAGAACCCGGGAAACTTGCATTTACTGAATCAATCTGAACTCCGACATAATATTTTTATTGTTTCGAATTACACTCTACTTCAGTAAACCAAGAGCAAATTAAATAACTAAGCATAATAATTAATAGAAAAAAAAAAGTTATACAATTCCTTCAAAAAAAATTCACAAAATACACAAAAAGGAAAAAAAATGGATTTACCTGATCCGAGGACTCATTGTGGGGAACGGCGTAAGAATTACGAATGTCAATTGTGCCGTCGGGTAAAACAGATCCGAGGAGCGTGCCGATGACGCGCTCAGCTTGGTCGGGCCGCCTGACGTAACAATCGCAGATATTGTATAAGACAAGTGGATGAACCCTAGCCGATACGCTTGTTGGTGACTGGCCAAATTGCAGCACGGTTTGTTCCTGAGAAGCCATACCTCGACACTCTACGATTCAGATAAAGAAAGCTGTAATTCAGAGAAAATGAAAACGCAAGATCGGAGAAAGAAGGCTTGGAAATTCAGAGAAAACGAAGACACAGAAAGAGCTGCTCGAGAGAGTGGGGAAGATAGGGTTAATATTTTTTGGGCCGGGCCACGGTTTATATATTCCATGGACTTCTATACTTACAAAAAGTTATTGTGTTGGGCCGAAGGCCCACATTTTACATATTACAATTGCTTAATTTATTTGTTAATAATTACTTTATTAACATAATTATTTATAGAAAGAATTAAATATGTCTATAACTTCAATGATCAACTGTCCACTTTTTTTTTTTTTTTGAGGAACAAAATTAGAAAATCTTCAAAATAGTGGTTATGTGTTTTGATAACCTATGAAATAACATCATTGGAGTTGTTCTTACATCGGGTGGATTGAAATCATAGAATTTTTAAAATAATTACTCACTAATCACACGTACACGTGAGGTGTGTGGTTAAAATTTATCCAATTTAAATAATTAAATTTAACATCTATTTTCCCGGAATATATATACATAATATAGGTTTGGCCGACGAGCTGTTATCTATTACAATTCCCATTCCACGTCATAACTCATTAAATTGAAAACAAGGAAAAAAAAATAATTGCAGTGACAAACCAACCAACCTATTTAGGTGTGTTGGACTTTCATTAACATTGAACAATTAAAAACTCCTCTTTTATTACACCACATAACCATCACCATTATAATATACATACAACAAACAGGAAAAATACAAGAAGAAATTTAGATAATCCTTGATCTAAATTGGAAGACGACGACGTACGGCCACAAATTGGAAGAGCACACACAATAAGGGGCTGTTTGGTTTCATGGATAATCAAGACTTGGATTTAAATGGGATGGCCCTAATTACAACCACGTGGTACAGTGCTGCCAGTGCTGCCCCAATGAATGGTCCAACCCAGAATATCCACTGCATAATATAACAACTTCATGTTAATTACAATTAGTATTATGATTTAAATTATTCTTAGCAAATAATTAATTAGCTCACGTGATCATTCCAGGCGTGGCTCTTGTTGTAGATTATGGCTGCACCAAGGCTTCGGGCCGGGTTGATACCAGTTCCGGTAATCGGTATTGTTGCCAAGTGTACCAAGAACACCGCAAACCCAATTGGCAACGGTGCCAATATCTTCAAATTAAAAATAATAATAAAAATAATTTAATATCATTTTAATCAAATAAATCGAATTTAAAAAAAAAAAAAAAAAAAAAAAGTAGTTATACTTACAGGCACGTGCGAGTCTCTAGCGCTGCGTTTGGCATCAGTAGCGGAGAAGACGGTGTAAACAAGAACAAAGGTACCTATAATCTCAGCTCCGAGGCCGCTGCCCTTGGTGTAGCCGTGCGCCACCACGTTAGCGCCGCCGCCGTTGCTCTGGTAGAGGGCTTTGCCGAAGCCTTTGACCACGCCGGCTCCGCAGATGGCTCCCAGGCACTGCATCACCATGTAGTAAACCGCCCTGGTCAACGACAGTTTCCTCGCCAGGAAAAGCCCGAAAGTCACCGCCGGGTTTATGTGCCCGCCTGAGATTCCGGCGGTGCAGTAAACGAGGGCGAAGATCATCCCGCCGAAGGCCCAGGCGATGCCCTGGATTCCGACGGTGGAGCACTTGGACTCCGACTTGCTGACGCCCATCACCGTCAGCACGGTGATGTACAGGAACAGAAAAGTCGCGACGAACTCGGCTATGCCGGCTCGGTAGAAGGACCACGAAGCCAGCTCGCCCGGCTCGAAGAGCGGCGCAGGCGGCGGCTCCTTGTAGTCCTTGTCCTGTGTCTGAGCCGCCGTGCCGATCGGCTGGCGCTCGTCGAATCTGTTGGCTCCCACTCTCACATCCTCCTCTTTGCTCTCCATTTTCTTGCCACGTGTCAATGCTTGTGTTTTACTTTGTGGTTGGTTGTTTGATGGGGCTAATGAGAAGTGATGACTGATGAGATAGGATTTATATACAAGAATTGTGGGGCCCACTGACTTCCATTGATGACTTGATTTTCAGTATGATACAGCCGACCACTGTATATAATTTTTGTTTTTTTCAAAAAAATTATTGGATTGTAGAAAACGACATTGAATTTGGGTAGGCTGGGGATCCGACGTGGCAAGATGAGGTCCATTGGTTTGCAATGTAACACTATTTTTGATGATGATTGATGGAATTGAAATAAGAGTGGCGACCACCGCCCACACTTTGAATCAAAATGGCAAAAAATGTGGGGAGTTTTTGTAATTCAATTCACTATAAGGTGAGATGTTCTAAAATTATGACTTTGAAAATGAATTGTTTTTTTAATTTTTTTTCCACATATTAGCTTGTTGTCAGTTTCATAAAATAACTTGCAAATTATATGAGAGACGCAGACCATACTAGACTAACAACGTGTTACAAGCTCGATCCAACGACTGTTGATATAAAAAATTTAACCTGATCCAATTGATACAGACTCACTTGCTTCAATCGTTCGGCTATTTCTTATATTGATTGTGGACGTTGAAGTATAAAATTTATCTATTTATGAGAGTTGAAGTTGAGTGTAGAATTTGGTGCAATAGATGAGGGCCTTCAATTGACATAGGGTAGTAGAGAGTAGGGTAGTTCATTAATGGGGTTTTGGGTAGTCACTCTTTGTTCTTTAGTTTGAGATAAGATCTAATTTTGCATGTGCGTGGATTTGCAGAGACGTGGATAAATTGGTACCCCTAAACTTTATATTAAATATGATTAATAAAATTTAAACGTAATTGAAGTTTGGTTAATGAGACATTTTGGAATAGATGAGAAAGTGATTGTGGGAATTAAAACACTGTATAAGATATATTTTGGATTTTTTTTACTACAAATAGTATAAGATTATGTTTCTACTATGTTACTTCAAATGTCTAACACATACGTGAATGACTCTTTTAATACACATATTAAAATGCATTGATTAATTTTTAACTGTTGATTTACACATAATTATACATTTGTGTGTGTATTTAGAGCATATTTATTTAACCACATTAATGATTGAAAATTATTTGGTGTAGATAATCCGATGTAGCATTATATAAACCTACTTGAACTAGTGTTCAGTTGCATACTAAATGGATCTTGACTAAATAAAATGGGATTTTTTTCTTAATTAAATTAATTTGTAATTAGTGGAATTGGCATGTTAAAAAATCGTATGGCCGGTGTGTTTGTTTCTCTAATGATTAAGACATAATTTAATTAATAATCGATTCTCTAATGAGCTGGTGATTATCTTCCAACATTAAAATGGAGATTTTCCATGCTGGCAGCCTTTGAAGATGGGTAATGATTTAAGCACTTAGATTATATTACTATTTAAACACATCTGTTAGTCGGCGTGGTTTTATTTTTATTCTGTAGTTAACGATTCAACAAACTAATGTATATTATAATACGTAAACTACACCAATCTAACCAATATATGATAAAATCGACCTAACGACTGTTGGCAAAGGATTCGAACATGAATCACATAAGTCGAGATATTAAAACATAAATTGAATTAAAAATACAATATATCCATGTGATACGGGAATTTAACAATTGGGCCATGCAAAGAAATGGGTTCGCAAGAGGCCTGAAAGGGCGTTTAATTAATGGGCTACACACTAATCACAGATAAGCCCAACTGATCGATTCAATTCCTAAGCAATTTTGACCTTTGTATGATTATAAAATATTGTATTATTTTCATAATAGGGAAATTAGAATAAATTTATTTAAGGTAGTATTTTCATGTGAAGAGTCGTTAGTTACCTTAAATAAGCATGCTTAGACAATTCAAAATAATAGTAGGGAAATAGTGGGGACTTAGAATTAATTAACCCAAGCAAAAAACACACAGTTTTAAACAAGATAAATAATTTGTCATCGGCTCAGATCGTTCCTCTTCGTCCACGTCCGGGATTCAAATGGTGCCTCCAACACTTGCCAATTTCGAAACGCCCAAAGTGTTATCGAAATAGTAACCAAAACACCCAATATCTGACTTATGTTTCCCTAAAAGAGGGAAGCTCGGAAAGGGAAATGGGTTGTGGACTTAATTTATGGGCTGAAATATGGCAAGTGGGCTGTAGATTCTTATTGGGCGGCGCATCTAGTAATGAGCAAATTTCAGCCCAGGCCCGTTCGTAGCCCAGGCCCGTGATACCGGCCCGCAGCGAGCTGGTGGAGCCCAGCAATATAATTCCATGGGCTAAGGGGCCGGGAGTGGGACGGGTGGGCCAATTATTCGACCACGAGACCCATCTTATTATTTGGGCCACAGTAAGAATCCAAATAATCCAATATAAGTGTGAGGCAAAATTTAACAAAAGAAGAATGAAGAAAAGAGGGAGTGAAATACATACATTACAATACATTATACAAAATAATCGTGTTAATAAACGTTAATAATAATCTCTAAAAAGAAAAAAATAAATATTGGGCAACCACTAACATCAATTTGCTAATTCCTTCGCACACGACTAAATAAATATGGCCTTTTGTATTTTAAATCACAGTCAACGAACACGAGTCAAACTGTTCAACCCGCCGCCGACTCATTTCTCACTCCGCAACCGCCACCAGAAACTCTCCGGCTAGTTACCGACTATGCCTTCCAGTTCCGTGGCTCAACTGCTCTCCGTGAAACGTCTTGGCGGCGTCCAAACTCGGGAAATAAGTCGGCTCCAGAAATATCTGACTCAGTAAATCTCCCGATCCAACGTTACCCTTCGCCTCCAGACTCCCCATCACCACCGCCAACAGTTGCTTGTAACAGAAGTAAAACCTCTTCACCGCCGCCTCCACCGCCTGCATCCCCTGGAGAAGGTGGATCTTCGCAAACTCCTCCTTCCTCCTGTACAGTTCCATGGCGGCGTCCTGTATCCTAGGCCCGCCGGTAGGGTCCACCTCCACCTCCAGAACCGCCGGAATCTTGTGCCTCAGCTCCTTTGAAGATCTCGTGACGTGTACGAGTTCTCTCGATCGGAAACAGAAGAGCTCCGATTCGGAAGTCGCTTTTATCATCAGCTGATTCTTCAGCCGCAAGAAATCGTCTGGATCCATCAGTAGATGCAAATCTTCGATCTGGTTAATAATCGTCCACACTTTTTCCAACGTCCAAATATGGCTCGACGCTCTCTCGTATCGCCGGGAATCGATTTCGTCGGAGATTTTCGTCAGAAGCTCTCCGGCGACACGGGTCCACGATTCTAGAATCTGGTGCGTTGCGTAGAGGATTCGGTTCTCCATGTTCTTCGAATCAACATCGTCGTTTGGGCATTTCTTCAGCGCGTGAAGCTCAGCCGGCTTGCAGATTAGGTCGTAGCTTAGGCTCGGCTTGCCGCTTAGATTCGGCTCACCCAAGCCGAGGGTGTACGGACAACCCTGCATCTGACACTCGATCGAGAACCGGATCTTCCTCGCAACATCCTCGAACATCTCCCACCCAGCCAGCCGCGGCAGCAGGCTCTCCTCGCTGACCTGGCTCACCACCACCGTGTCGTCCGCCATCCTCCACACCTCGGCGGAGCTGTTATTCGACGCCAATACGCCGCCGTCGGACGTCAGATCCGCGATCGGGATCGTAGCTCTCGTCTCCGGATCTTCTTCATCGTCCTCACACAGAAGAGCAATAATCTCGATCTGGCTCGTCGTCAGAGCCTCCAACCGCCGCCTCCATTCCCGGCGGTTGGTGTATTTCCTCGGGTCGGACAACACGGTCGAGATAAACCGGAAGGTAATCTCTAAACCGGTAAAAGCCGGTTTGATAACCGACTCGCTTTTCCAGCCGGGAAACTCGGTGGCGCACCATAGCTTCCTAAGCTCCGGAAGGCGAAGATAGTGTTCGTACGCCGAACAAGACGAGTCCGACGCCGCCGACAGCTCAGCAAGCCGGATTTTGGCCGGCGGGATAGAAATCTGGAGCTTGTTGCCGAATTTAGGTGATTTACTAGGTATATCAGAACCGATCATCTTATTTTTCCAATCCAAATCAACCATTTTGTATTTGAAATTAAATGAATACGAAGAGAAAATAAATTATTTATGAGAATGTTTTTTTTTTCTGTTTATTTTGTAATTGTAAATGATTTGAATATATAGAGAGAGAGGAGAGAGAAGGAGTATATATAGAGGAGTACGTAGGGTGATGGGAGACAAGAACAGAGGAAAGGCGTGTGGAAAGGGAAGACGGAAGAATTTCTAAAGGCGCGGCGGTGATAAATTATTATTAAATTAAATTCTTAATTTTAATTTTTTATTCCGATATATAAATGGTAATCTTATCCAAATACGGATATAGCTGTTCGAATTTTTCAAATACGGTCATGCCTATGTTTTACAATTTCTAATATGTCTGCTTGGGGGAAGTAATCAACTGCTACGCTAAGCTGCTGACTCGTCTTTTCTTTCTCCAATTAATCTTTGCCACGTACCCCGTTTTGGTTTTTAGGATTGCTGCTGCCAGCCAGAATTCCACTGGAACTTTTTTTTTTCGTTTTCTTTTATTAATTCAATTTTAAAGTATTGTAAATTACTATCACCGCCTTAGGTAAAGGGTCCATTTACAAAACAACCCCTTATTTGTTCATAATTACATCCACCCCTGCAATAAGTATATTTCTTACATTAACACCATTTTGAGGGGGTTGAATGTAATTTCTAAAAACTAAGAGTTTCTTTGTATATAAACTTTACATTAGGGATGTGGTTGTAATTTACCGTTTTAAGTGTGGATGAAAAATCGATAGTAAAAAAATTGCGTTTTAGTGAAAAGGGTATATATAGCTTCTTAAAGCGCTTATTAGTATTTTCTATATATATATATTTATTAAAGTGTAAAAACAATATAAAAAGATGGTTATAATCATAACAACAATTGACTAATAAATTGAAAGACCAAAAAAAAAAAAAGAGAGAAAAAATATCCGGCAAAGAGGACTAAATTGGAGCAATTATTTGAACGAAGGGCACAATAGTTTGACGAAGAAAATTAAGTGGTTGTAGTCCAAAGGTCCTAGGATAATATATTTAGTCATAATATAACATGGTTCCATCCTAGGATCCTTCGTAATGGCTCATTGGCTCTAATTACCCAAGTCGTCGTTTTCATTTGACTATTTTGAGGGGTACGTATTGCCTGGTTTAATTTACAGATAAGGGCAGGATTTTCGGCATAAACTACGATCCTGCCATTTAATTTAAATGAAAAATAGTATAGGAGATTGGAATAAAATTAATGTTTAATCAGATAAGTTTGATAGTGGGAAACGACAACGTTGGATAAAAGGCCATGTTTTGGAACTTGAGTTGTTGAAGTTGAACAAAAAGTGGCAGAATTTCTGCTAAATTAAACCTTGTTGTTCTTTGTCCACTATACTTACTTTTAAGTCCAAATCAATTGAACTTATTAGTTATTACTTCCACAATAGTTTAATTTAATTTGGATAATGTTCAAAAAGAAAACTAGTGATTTTGAACTTCGAAAATACATTTTGGGATTTTTGTTTATAGTGAAATTAAATAATATATTTTTAAAATAGTTCTTCTAATATTCTTGTTGTATGCCTGAAATTTTAAATCAGCATGCTGGATTAGTGAAAGGGTTAACAAGATGGACAAAGCAAGTTAATTAATTAATTCCGAGTTTAGATCGATATATAGCTCTTAAATATTTGGGAATTTTTAGAATATGCTTTCATTAAGTGAATTATGCTTTTGAGGTTAAGATAAAGTTTATCATGTGGTTTAGTGTTGGAAGAAGGGGTTTATGCTCTTAAAAGAAACCTTTTGTCTTATAATTGTTGTTGTTAAAACCCTAATACATCCAAATTTGTTCTTTCTTTTTTGTTTTAAGAATCAAAACTCATTTGTTTCTTTGTTTGGATTAAGTTTTGGCTTTGTTCAAATGGAATATTTCTTTTAATCAAGTTCCTCTTGCTCTTAGCATCATAGACGATGATTAGGGTATGTATAAACATCGTTTTATGAGAGCAAAAATAATATATATATCTCATTTCGGCCAAATTTTCTATTATCTCATTAGGTTATCGTCAAGTTATCAACTTTATCGAATCAAATGAAAATCATAATTGATGTAACTAAGCCCACTAATACCCAAATCAATTTAATCTAAAGTCACAAAGCTCATAAGTTTTGTTAGCTCACGCGCACAACGTCACGTTTACAAAAATTTAACAGAGGTTTTTCTAATCACCACCTATAAATATTCATCATTGTATTCATTCCATGGTATGTCATTTGTTTTCCCGAGTGATCTCTACTCCGGTGTGAGTCTCAACTCGTGTACCACAACCCTCCACATTTTCGATCAATTCCATAGCTTGAAGGAATACAAATTTTATATTTTTCAAAATTTCGGAGGAATACAAATTTACTCATTCGTCTTACAATTATATAAAATTATCAATCACTATAAATTATATTAAATTTGTTAATGTTTTTTCAACATTTAAATGACATTCAAATAAGTGTGTTGTGAGAGAGGGTAATAGTGTCATTTTGCATCGTGGGCAAGTTTCCGTTAGTTTCGGATAAGTATAGACCAAAAAATTGTCTTAAATCCAAATTGAAAGACACAAAGTTCAAATGTTGGCGGGCGAAACATTCCTCTTTACTATTTGCATGTTGGGACTCCAGTCCATCTCCGCGTTTACCGCTTTAATATTGCCAACTCATTTTCTCACTCCACGTGTCATTCCCTGGTTCGTGGGTCCTCTTATATTTCCACTTTTCTTCCAGTGCTCGTTCATATAAAAGGTTTTATCTATCCTACACCCGGTGAAGGTTACACCGGGTGATTTTTCACCGTTGATCTACACACACCAATGTGGGTGTGTGTATGTTTGTGTGTATATTAATGGTAAAGATCTACCCGGTGTATTTCACCCGGTGTAGGATCTCAAAAGCCCATATAAAATTATGATGAGGAAAATAAAAAAGAAGAATATAAATGGAATTAGGAAAAATATGAATTCCCTACTTTCTCCTCACCAGCTAAGAAATCACACACAGAGGACCCAGCACGTGACTCACCCACTCCCCCAGTCATGGAAGGACACGTTGTCACGTGACCCATAAATCATAGTGTCGTGCCCATCTGGAGGCACCTGATTGGTTCAACGGTGCCTTATCCCCTACTACATGTTATGAATAATAATTAATTAATAAATAAACGGTTTGTTCTTGGTGTAATTTATTAGATTTTGCAGTTGGGGTTGTCTCAACGGTTTGTTTGGCTTGCAAGTCTGGATAGAGGAAATGCGTCACATTATAATTTCAACCTTTTTCCCCCATTTTTCTTTTTGCTGTAAGAATCATTTGAGCCCCGTGAAATAGCCAGCTGTAATATTAATTAATTAGTGACAAAGTTTGATTAGGGAGTGTTTGGGAAATCATATTCAACCTGACAAAATAATTTACTCACAGAAGTTAGGTGTATTAATGAATATATGTTTGTTTGTTAATGTCACAACTTTGGAAGCTTGGTCATGGGACAAGGACAAGTAGTATTATATTGATTTAATCTTTTACCGGATTTATCCACCTAACTTTTTAAATTTAATTTTACTGGAGAATATAATAATAAATAATGGATATACATAGATAAAATTGAAAGAATAATTAATAATTAATAAAATAGTGGTAGATGATAGTTATCTGGATTTGGTTGGAAAGTCATGGGTGGTTGACTTTGAAGCGTGTCAAGGTTGGGAGTTGGTTTCCTAGGCAAAACCAAACCCCATGCCATGTTTTTTTTCATCCCATGTGCAAATATATATTTATACTTATCCATTATTATCCTCTGCTCGTCTAAACGCAATCTATTGTATGCCCCAGCCGATATTATTGAATTACAATTCACATTTATTGATTTTATAAATACCCTCCTTTTTTCTTTTTTAATTCATTTTGGTACTGGTGGAATTTCTAGTTTATTTTTATGCTATCACCTAGTATTTTTTTACCGTTGATCTCCACATTATGAATGTTGGTATTTGTGTGCTAATAAACATCTACTCGGATTATTTCAGGCGGCGATGCAGCATAGAATAATTCGTGACCTCTTAGTTCAATGATTTTGTCCAAATTCAGTTATCAAGAATTAAATGCTTTTCTTGTTGCTTTTCCCAATGTATTTGAATTTTGGATAACGAATAATGTACTAGGTAGCCCAAGATTTAATCAATCGTCCAACCCATTATTCCATTCAGCACAATGTAGTATTTGATAGGAATGTAATCTACTTATCTATAACGTCAACAAGTTGGACTAGGTTAAAGGTGCAGTATAATATTGCACTCATTAAAATTTAAATCATATTTTAAGCTAATAAAAATCACAATTATTGCAATTTGCATACATACATGTTCTAGATAAGTCATTTACCTGAAAAGTACAAATATTTTAAGCACAAAGCAAATAGTTGCGGTCGGGATTCTTCAATCACGGAAGCATCTCCCGTCACGCAATGCAAATCAACATCAATAAAAAATAATCATAAAATAAGCAAAAATGCAATAATATCTAGAACATATAACTGCAAAATACGGTCTTAAATAAAAACACAGTCGAGAAACTGAGAAAACTAACATCCACAAAAAATAAACAAGTCAAATTGCAAAAATTGATACGGGAAAGTCATTAAACGGCACAAACATTAAACTTAATCGAAAAGACTGAAACCAAGGTCATCATCTGATTCATCGGCAGGTTCTTCTTTCTTCTCCTCTTCCTTGGCGGCAGCAGCAGCAGGTGCAGCACCCGAACCAGCAGCGGCAGGAGCAGCGACTGCAACAGCAAACTTGCTAGGGTCCTGGTTTGTATAAAACGCCACATTCAAATATCAGACAACAAATTCTATATAAAAAAAAAGGGTACATCACAAATGTAATAGTATAATAATACTTACAGCAAGATACTCCTTGACTTTATCGGCAAGTGGGAAGGAATAATCAGTTGCAACGGCCACAGCCAAGACATTCTTGTACGCATTGATGAACATATGCGGTGCAGCAGCTAGGGTTGGGTAAGAGATGGCCAGAGCCAACGAGGTAACCATGGAAACACCCATAGCAAACTTGCCAATCAAGTCATCTTCGGTCAAGTCAAGAACCTCAGGGCTGAAAACGGAACCGTTGTCGTAAACCTTGGTGACAACTAGACCATAAGAGAATGGCCTGATTCCGAGTTTCGAAAGAAGTGCAGCTTCAGATGAACCCACTTTGTCACCCTTCTTGATGAGCTCCACAGGGGTGACGATTTCGACAGTACCCTTGTTAATCTTGGTGGGAATGTTAAGAACCTGCACACAAATACAATATTTAGTTTTATCACACAAATTAAAGAAAGAGGAAACAAAATCGGAAATGATAAGTGTGTTTGTAAGTACCTGGAAGAAAGATGTCTGCGACGGATCGAGACCCGTATTCCCAGGTGGGACAATGACATCAATCGGGGCTACCAAACCAACACGAGCAGGTGCTCCAACCTGTTTTGAGAAAGCTTATACGTTATACGCCAATACGTATATCAACAAGGCAACTTCTATTTCTATGAGCCCAATTTTACGAATATATTTCATCTTCCATATTGGATCAGAATGTTTACTCCCGATTAGAAATTACAGACAACTCATCCAAAACAGAACATTAAAACCATCAAGTTCTTCCCTAGAATATGTTTCGTGAGTAACATCATAATACAACCTTCGGTTCGAGTTCGAATAAAACAAATATT